CCCATGGATCCCATCCCATGGATCCCATCCCACCCCATGGATCCCATCCCATAGATCCATCCCACCCCATGGATCCCATCCCATCCCATCCCATCCCTGGTGCTGACCACAGGCTGCAGCCTGAACCCAGAGCGCTCCCACACTGCCATGGCCACAACAACATCTGAAGAAAAGCAGGATGAAAATGATGATGATTTCAGATGACTCCACAAGACTCAACTCATTCTCAACTTACTCCAGCCCTCCAGAATCACCATCTTAAGCAGGGTAAGTACTAAGAGAATCTTTCTTATGCACTTATTAACCCAGAATACAAACTAGCAATTAACTTAGCAGGTACAGAAATACACAAATAAATTGCAAATCCTACAGCCTCAACTATACTGCTAACTGAGAGCAGTTTTCTATTACTCTACTACTTAACTACATTAGAGACTTATTAGTTCACAACACAGAGTGAGAGCTCTGATTTGCATTATTATTTAATGACAAAACTCTACTTCTTATGCTGATTACAATATTTGTTTGATTATGAGATATATCATTGCTTAAACTGATTTGCTGTACTTTATTTTAACTAAATTATGGCCCACTGACAAAAGCTCTTTTGAGCAGCCTAATTCTAGGAAGATGCAACTAGACTGGTATCAGTCTGTGCTCTCTCAAGAGCCATCAGCATCCTCATACACATCTCCATCTTCCAGAATATATTTTTCAAGTTTTGAAGATGCAGTTCTACAGTGCAGTAAAATTAGATTTAAATTTGAATAAAATATCTGACAGCAATTTTTAATGTAGAAGTGAATAGAAATGAAAGGGCAGGAGTCCAGCACGCTGTGCATTTCTATCACTGCACTTCTGGAAACAATATTTGTTAATATTCTATTGGAATGTGCCTCTAAGTACAATAGAAATCAAGAAGCACTGTTAATCAATCCCTTGCTGTCAGAGATGTTCAATACAGTCACAGAATTCTATTTCCTGACTGGGTCATACACTTTATTCTTTCAGGACCGTGCAATTTCAGTTTTTTTTATTTAAATAGAAACAATACCATTCAAGTGACCAAGTTAAAAATAAAGTTAATAAACAAAATATTTCTTAGACTTCTTGAAAATAGCAAGAATTGGTTTTTTCGGTGTACATATCATAATTTATACTTTAATATATTGCATAGATATTTGTTTTTTTATTACAGACAAAAAGGTCAAAACAAGGAAGGACAATCAAGAATATACAGCTGGATCTCCTCATTATTTGTCTAAACCAGATTTCTGAAGAGAATATTTTAATATTTGTTTTCAGGAAGATGCTGTTAAAGCCCTGAACATAATGTCCTAGTTCTTCTAATAAAAACTTTCCCCAGGGAGGCAAAGACTCCACTAACTCGTGAGCCACAATATTCTGCACAAGTGTGAGAACACCAGAATGTAAGTGCAGCACATTCTGAAGGTGTTCAGATGCTCAGGTTTAATATCAGTTAATAAATCTTTTAGTATTACCCTGTACTTGTGCTGTCTTGGCAGCTTTTCAAACATTAGCTCTACAAACCCAGTTTAAAATCAAACCAGTTTCTGAAGATATCATATGCAAGAGCCACTTATCCCCAGGCGAGGATGGGGCAGGTGCTGCACTCTGGAGACCCATTTAGCACTCTCACAACACAAGACACAGAAATGAAGCACACAGAGAAAAGCACAGATTTGCAATGCACGTCACTATTGATACTGAAAAGTTCCTCTCCAATCGAGCTGCATTACCAGAATTTTTTTTTTTTAGCCTTCCCTTTCCCAACAACTGCCTAAATCCATACAAAATAGTACACGACACAGAAAGAGGGACATCATACCTTTCAACATCTCCCTGCTTTAGTGAGGAAGAAACAATTCAATGCAACAACCTACTCCAGCTTTCCTCTCCAACCTCTTCCCACTTGTTGCCAGGGTAACCAGTGTTTGCAGATGCCTATAGCGGGCGCCTGGGTTCATGACTTCATCACAGTTAATATCCTCTCGCAGCTCCTCAGCGCAGAACGCACACATGCATTCATCCACACACTATCAACACACTGATTACACAACCCTGCAACTGCTCCTGTACCCACACCGCTCGCTCCGCTCTTCTGCTGCACAGAAAAAGCCAAAATAACGCCGGCAAAAATAATCCCTTGGCAATTGGAAGATGTGGGGAAAGTTTAAAAGCAGGGCTGGTGTAAGCACAGCAAGCAGCTGCTCTGCTCCCTCTGCACTGAACACTCACTGGTCTGACTGCATCGTGCTATCAGGTACGAGGCATTAATATTAGTGTTATAAAACATCTTGTATGCAGTTCAAAAAAATTCTTTAGTCATGCACTAAACCTTTAACATTACAACTGGAAGACAAGCCTAGAAAATGTGACTAGCACCTGGAAAAAAACATCTTCTAGTTTCTAACAGAAGCAGTTTGAAGTATTACAGTACAGAATATAGGCAACACAGAGTGCATGCACAAAGCATCATTTCATTATGGGAAAGAAGAAGGAGCTGAGCTTTGAACTCCAGGACAAAATATTAACATCATTTCAAAAGAAAATACAAGGAGAAGTGAACAGACAACAATCTCAAGTGCTTAAATAAAGCACTTAAAAAGGAATACATATTTTTATATACATTTTTATATCTTTTATAACACATATATTTATGTATTCCTTTTCAATGCACTTGCACCACTTGCCTTCATCCCTCTGTAAAACCCCTTCCCCAGCAGCTCTGTATCAAGACAAAAAACTGAAAATCAGTAGGATTGAGCTGGTTTGTACTACCTTGCCTTCCAACTGCTTCAAAAGATTAAGGATTGAATTCTGTGTGCCT